CAGGAATAGGTGGAGCAGGTGAGGGCTGAGCAAAAGGGGATTGCGGAACGAACGGCTGAGGGCCCATTTGTGTCCATCGGGAAGGACGTAAATGCCGTCGTGGAGATGGCAATCTAGCCATTGGAAGGACTGCATTGAAACCGACTGGGTGAAGCGTTCGAAGTTTTCGAACCCAAAAACCCTCGCGGGGTGCAGCAGCCCTCCGAAAGAGGCCATGATCAACAAAACCTCAAGACGTATGATACAGGGTAGGATCGATGCATACATTGCTCCGCATCCCCCTAGCATGCAGGAAAAGGAAAACAACAGGTGTAAAAGTGACAATACAAACTTCACGATCTCACACGTATACGTGTCATCGAAGTCAAAAATGCCTCAGAGGGTTATGACAATTTAACAACAGAAAGAATCTTGAGATCTTCGTCAGCTCGCAATGTGGCGAGTATCGGCGTGCTTACACCACTTCAAGTAATCCTCTCCCTACTTCTCCCAAAACTCTGCGTTGTACCACCAACCCGCTTCAGGCAATCAGCCCCCGGATCATGTCCGTTTACTGTCGCCCACCTCCGTTGTCGGCTTTCCTATACCGCCGACGTTGGTGATATCCTCAGGAGTCAGGAGCCCATTGACAGCCAGATCAACTTGGCCTTTCGCAATTCCAAAGGACAGAGTTCGCAGTGACAGCGACATTCATAGTATCATACATTATTCTAGCCATCAACATTAATCATCACCACTGGATCATTCACCCCCACGGCAAACCCCTTCACCCTCCATTTCCTCACCCAGGCCACCACCCACCCTACCTTCTTCCCCCGAATAAAACGTACGGTCATTGTAGCTGTATTTGAGGCATCTTTCAGTCTAGATACAGCCATAATGACCGTACGTTGTATTCGGGGGAAAAAGGTAGGCACCGTTGCAAACGAACACACGGAAGTTGTATCGTCCATCGAAGTGTTCTCGCCAGGCACAGGCGCACAAGCGCATCAATGGGGGCAGCTCGCGGAAACGGATGCAGCCAGACCCGCCGATGGCCCAGCTCAACCACCTCGAACGAATGGGTCAGGTATTTTCCATTAGAAGAAACACTGAAAGATCAAGTGTAGTATCTGTTCTGAGCAGTTTAATATTAAAAAAAAGAAAGAAAAAAGAAACAGTCACCGTTACCTGCATCCGTTCCCGCCAGCTGCCCCCCTCTGTGTTCAGCAGGCCCCTCATTAGCAGCTGCTGCATCCACAGGAGCCGTGACCCCATTTTCAGCTGCAATCACAAGAGCCATTCTGCTGCCATTTGCAACCGCATTCACAGCCATGCAGGCCTCATTCACCCTTTCTTCAGCATCCTTGCACTCCTCTCTGGAATGCACCGCTCCCGCAACTAAGTTCTCTTTGCCCAGCAACAAAAGAGAGTGTGTTTGGCCCCGTGGAATCTTTACTTCGCCCTGCTTGTCTGGACAAGACCCCCCCCCCTGTGCAGGTTGCTCAGCATTCTTAAGGACCACCCTCATCTGAGGGTGGCGCTCTGCAAGAGTCCAGATGTCCGACTCACTGGTGACCGGATAAACGGACCCATCCTCAGTGACCTGCAGCACCAGTCAGGCAGAATCCAGATCCAGACACAAAACCTCACAATGTCAGCCGTCCCGTCACGCCAATCAAGATCAAGAGACAAGTTAATTACTGCTTGTCAAAGCTGGACTCCATGTGGACCTGTTTCGAGAACTTTCGACAAACCGACAGCTGCATTTGCCCGAGCCTAACATCGATCGTTCCGCCGGGAGGAAAAAGTATCGTGGTACCCTTCAGCTCCAAACCTCTGCCGGGCCCCGTGAATCTACGGTGCAAGAAAAAAAAAAAATTGTGGCACTGAAGATTTTGGCCCCCTACGTGGAGACAAGGTAAATGAACAGTGCAGGGGCCGCTGAGTGGCCGGCCGCTTAACAGGTGATCTTCAGCAAGCCGTTTCGAGTCTATCGACTGAATGCACAGCGAAGTTTGAAGGGTGTGCCTGACGTAGTGTGCAGTGACCGACTGTTGAGCTCGGTCGGCACTCAGGTGCCCTGCTGCGATCTGATGTTCGATGCCAGTGAGTCTGAAGCACTAAATACCAAGAGATTGATACACAGCACGCCAACACAACGGCCCTTATTAACACCAATATTCATGCTAAGGGTAAAGCGCACCAACACATGGCACTAATTAACAGAAACACTCGTGCAAACGGCAAAGCACATCAACACGACGACAGGGAGAGCACAACAAAGCATATCAACACGACGGCACCCTTATCGAAACATAGCGAGGAGTTTGGGAGAGCACAACAGGACGTCTTTTGCATCCTAGCATCCAAAGAGACGAGGCATACAGCACCACTGCGTGAGCAACATCATGGAGTACAACCAAGGGTAATGTGTGTGAAGTTTTTGAGCTGAATAGCTGATAAGTACCATCCACCAACAGGGATAATATGAGAAATACGGAGAGGAGAAACAAGGCATTCCCGTTCCGTTTAATCATCAGTGTTATGTGCTGCAATAAGCACAAAAAAAAATTGTCTGTAATTTCATTCTATCCACGTTCATTTCTTATTTCCCTCACCAATTGACTCCTCTCTCTCTCTCTCTCTCTCTCTCTCTCTCTCTCTCTCTCTCTCTCTCTCTCTCTCTCTCTCTCTCTCTCTCTCTCTCTCTCTTGTTCCAATCTCACAGGCAAAATAATCCATCAACATTTGTGCACTGAGATCTTAGACTCAAAGGGCGAGAAGAGAACAGAGGGATCAGAAGCTGGTAATGTGAGCCAGGCAGCGAGTCTCCCAGCTCTCCTGGGCCATCCAGTCCCACCACTACCTGGTCTTTCATCTAGGCCTTCCAATTGGCCAGGAACCTAGGTGAGAGGCCGCGTGGCCAAACTCTGATTGACCCAGGCTTCAAAACGTTTGGCCAAGATCCTTATCCCAAGCCCGCCGCACCCTCCCCTGCTGTCTCAGCACAGGGCCTGGATTGAAAACTGCGGCTGGCGCAGAACAGACGGCCATAGGCCCAGCCACAAACAGACAACCTGGGCCAAACCGTGAAACGGTATACGCCAGAGAACCAAGCAGGACCGACCTGCGCCTGTTCAGACAAAAGTCCTGACAACACAATCTATGCGCCCCGCTCCACTGCAGAACATCCTAAATGCATATGGACCTCATAATGGTCCTCGCAAATTGAAAACGTTTGGTCAGCATGCATGTCTTTCGATCCCGAAAAAGCCAGATATACATTCGGAATGCTGTGCAGTGGAGCAAGTCCCTATACCAGGAAAACAACGGAGTGCCACAGAAAATGAGTACCGTACTCTGACACCAACAAAATACGCGCCAACTGAAAACAGATCAAACAGAACTAAACTCAACTGAGAACAGACAAAACATACACACTCCTAGACTCAGAACAGAAAATGCTCGCACCTGTCTAGGAACCCACCCACCTAGGGCCCCATGATCGCTGAGGCCCTCTCCGCAAATAGAAGCCCATACCAAGGGTCTCTGCGGCCGCTGGACCTGCCGAAGAGATGTCCCGTCCCCCGGCCCGATGTGGGAGGTTCCTGTCTGCCATAGTGATGCTGGGAACACAGGGACAGTAGCTGCACATGCAGCATGCAATACCAACTACAGTAGTCAGGCGTATCCAGCTGATTCATGATCGTGCACATGCTCATTCCATGTACTGAGGAACAGCCTGAACAGAATAATCAAGTGCCGCAGTATGTTAATTGCACAACTCGGAGTCTCGGACCACATTTCAGGGCAGGTTTCTGTGCCACAGCTACTCTACATGCAGACAGCACTGCCTAAACATGGGGGTCTATGTCAGCCAGGCAAGACGCAGGAAGAGCACCCTACCCAAGCAATCGACCAATCACCTGCATCAACTGCTACCTGTATAGCACAGCTAACACTGCAACCACCAACCCCCGTGGATCTCTTCTTCTGTCTTCTTCTCGTTCTTCTTCTTGTTTTGCCCCTATAATTTGCAAGAATGTGCACCCCGCCACTGTAGTTTCTGATGTTTGAGGCATCCCATTCTGACGCCAATTCAAATTTCCATAACATCCATCCAATCGTGGGGTTTGAAATATTTTCTCTGTGTCCCTGTCACTGCCGTTCCAACTTTGTTGGATACCCCTGCGCAGTTCTGGCCATTTGGTACCGAGGTGCAAACCGAAGGCGGCCCAGGGGCAAAGCACAAATTGGATGCCTGTCTAGCAGGGTCAAAGTGTCAGAAGGGCACTCTGCAAATATCGGGGGGCAGCACACAAATTCTAGCAGCAATCGCGAATTCCCCCCGAACTCCTGAAGCAGAGTAGTCACGCCGACAGTCGGCGCCCCTGGATTGGTCGGGGGCCGACCAGTCCGACCGACCAGCCGACCGTCGGACTGGTTGGCACCTACCGGACAGGGGTCGGTCGGCACCCTGCCGACCAGCCGACGGTCGGACTGGGCGGCACCTACCGGTCGGGGGTCGGTCGGCACCCTGCATTTTTTTATTTTTATTTTTTTGGGGTCCAGAACCCCAAATAACCCCATCAACACCCCCATAGCCCCCCCCAACACCCCCATACACCC